GGGGGGGAACCAAACAGACAAAAAAAACCAAACAAAAATACCTCCCAACCCTTGCCTGAATAAGTTCTTGGATGTTGTTTACTGTGGATTGCAAGCATAGTCATAGAGCACTACATGTTCCTTTGTGTACTAGAGCTAAATCACCCTCAGAGAGTTTCCTACTGTCAAGTAGTTGGCAGAGTAGGACAAGCTTTGGCTTTGTAAATCATCTTCTCTTGAGGCTGCAGCTCGTTTTGGCAGGCAATGTACCCGCCCCACCTCGATTGAAACCAGCCCTTCGGAGAGGGTCACACAAGACATACTAGATGGGCTTTGGGGTCCGGGTCCCGCCTTTGCCCTCTCCTTCCTCCCGGGGAGCCTGAAGCATCTTTCCAGGAAGTGCTGGAGCCTCAACGGTAGAACTAACAGGAAGAGTAACCCCCTCCCCTCCATTTTCCAGGAGCTTTATTGCTCCTAATTGCTGGTAACTGAGGGTTAAGTATTTGCTTGAGTACCTGCTTGGTGGTGCTGAGGGGGTTAAGGCGTTTGATTGAGTCTAAACGTATGTGTGACAGAATCTTATCTGATGGTGGGGTGGTTTGGGTTGGGGTTTTTTTTGTGTAAAATGTCAGCCGTTTCCTGATGAGCGTGGTGGTGGTGAATTTCACACCTTTTTTCTCCTCTGTGTGGAAACCTGGGTGTTAATGGTATTGGAGCAGGTCGTATTTTATAAGGAATGAGGCTGTCTCTTAAAGCAGAGGAAAAGCAGGGAAGGGAGAGGAGGTGAAGAAAAGGATTCAGGGAGACTGCCACTTGTAGCAGGCATTAGTTGGATTATTTTGTGCTGGTTTTATTCAGAGCATGTAAGTGTAACATTGTTTGCTAAGTGCGGGTTTTTTTTCCCTATGAAGTGCTGGAGTTTGACATGAAAATAACCCTCTCTTTTCATTTCATAGTGAAATTTGGCATTGCAACACCTGAAGATGGAAAATTGGTCAGTTGATCAAGTTTGCAACTGGTTGAGACAGAGAAATTTAGGAGAACTAGTTCCTAAGTTTCGTGGTAAGCATTTTTGTTGTTTGTGTGGGGTTTGCTTAGTATTTCATTCTATGCCTTTAATTGGTACTGCCTACCGCTTGGGGGGGGATGTGTATATATGTATTAGCTTCAAACTTACAGAAGTTAATTATGACTAACATAGATATGATAAATCAAAGTAAGTGGGCAGACTTATTATGAAGTCTCTGAGAAATGCTGGGAGATGAGATTAAGCCCGAATGTAAACAGATACACCTCAAATCAAGCTGCCAGTTTAAAAGGGCCTATTTTATATTGTGTAAATCTTTTGAAATAACACAACTGTACTGTGTAAATGTTTTATGTCTGAGTACATAAACACTCTACAAAAGAGTGCATGAGAAACTGTTATGTCAACAGGCTATTTGTTGTGTACTCTCTTAAAATAACTTGCTTTTCTTCCTTAACAAAGTAACGGTCGGCTGTGGTCTAAGCAAGGCCTGATTTAAAGCATTAAAATAGTCAGGTCACTGTTTCTTGGCTTTTTGTCAGGGGAAAGTATCTGTCCAGTGATGGGGACTCCTGGCACCGTTAGGAAAAGGACAGTTATGTAAAACAGCTTTTTAGCAGTTGAAGAAGACCATCAGTAGTAGAAAGCATCCTTGCCTTTGACCTGTCAGGATGTTTTTAGGCATATAGAATGTTACTGTAACTGCAAAGTTGTTTTTCAGTAATTCTTTAATTCCCTTTGATCTGCAGAAGAAGAAGTAAGTGGAGCAGCTCTTCTGGCTCTTAATGATCGTATGGTGCAGCAGCTGGTGAAGAAGATTGGGCACCAGGCAGTGCTGATGGACCTGATTAATAAATACCAGCAACAAAAAAGTGGGCTAAAATCCCTTACATATGGTTGTGAAACAGCTACTCAAAAATTTCCAGAAGTAATTATTGGGTGAGTTTGTATATGGCACAGAAAATACCAGTTTGGGTATAGTTGTATTCTTCTCATAACATTTTAAAACTCTAATTTACTAGCTCTTCAGCTCTAATTTGTAGCTGGGTTTTATACTTTGAATATCTCTAACATGTGAAATGCAAAATAAGGTTATTACCTTGTGGTTTTAAACAGGACATCAACATTCCTGAACACCATTAATTAATTTAAACTGCTCTTCATTTCCAGTTCTGGGACCTAGTTTCCATTTGGATGAAGCATCATCAAACTTCAACTATAGCTAAAACTTTTCTGTATTTGTGGAATTAAGCTTGTGAAGCACTTCTAAATATTTGCAAGTCTGGGACTAAAATCGTGATTTAGCCAGAGATGATATTTGTGTCACAATTATTTAAATTCAGTCTCTCCAAGAAAGCTCTGAATTTGATCTAGGTGTAAGCATTTAATAATCCCACTGTGTGGAACTAGATAGTTTTTTAGAAAACAAATTCCACAGAAATTGTCTTAACTGAGTATGTTCTGGCTCTTGGTTCATCAGGGCTTCCTTTTTGTTGGTTGTTTGTAGTTTCTTTAGTGGGGGCAGATTTTTTTTTGTGGTTGGGTTTTAAGGTTTGTTGGTGGTTTTTTTGGGGTCTTTTGGTGTGGCTTGCTTGGGGGTTTTTGGGTAGGTGGTTTGGCTGGTTTGGTTCCCCCTATCACTCTGATCTATTATAAGTCTTGCAGGATTTTTTTCTTTTCTGTTTATTGGCTGAAGAGAGCCAACCCTGAGCTCTCTGAGTGCTCTCTTCTAAACTGAAGAATTCTGACAGCAGAGAATAGCTTGTCATGGATGCAAAATGCCCTTTTTTGAAGGGAAGGACTCTAGCACTAAGATTGCAGTAGTAGCCCAGTAGGAGTAAATCTGTAGAGCATTCTTTGTTGCATTTGCCTTGATCCTAAAGGAGTCCAGTTTGTGCACTCTGAGATGACTCCATGGTGGAAACCAAAGCATGGTAGATGGTGATAATTACTTTATTTCCAGTCAAATTGCACTTGTGAGCAGAACCAAACTGCTTACATGATGCATCCTCTTGTCCTTGTATTTATGAAACCCCTTGGGTAAATTGTACTGCATTGTTGGAGGGAAAGGAGGGTGCAGGATGAAGATGTTACCACACATATGATTTATCAGAGACCTGAAGTATGCAATCACAGCCAGTCTTGTTTCCTTGCACCAGGGTCCTGCCTCACTTGATTTATAGGAAGCTTCCTCTTTGGAGGTAGAGCAGGTCTCTGTTGTGAAGGCTGTGGGCTCTGTACTTCATCCAAAGGGTGGTAGATACATAGTGATTTCATCAGGGAGATTCAGGAGAAAACCTGTGCTTCTGCTTCAGGCAGTGTGCATGCTGCTCTGAATATTTAGATTTTACCCTTGACTGTCAGAAAAATTTGGCTAGACTGCATCTCAGAAGTGACTGTTCCCTGCGTACTTCTCAGCTCCCGTTAAGTTGGGCCTTACAGTCTCACAAGGAACATACAGCTGCGATAGTGTGAGGGCACACCTTTTCTGTGAAGTTATGCAGACTCCAAAAAATTAAATGCTGAAAATATCAACTATTAGTGAATATAACATACCTTAAAATCTTTCCTACCTAGTTGTCTTGCCTGGAAAATGAGTTGCTGGTATTCTTCCATTTACAGGGAAGTGAAGTAAATAAGCTGCTATTTCTGAAATATTTTCTGTGTCAGAGTCAAGAACCACAGAATAAAACTCAAGCAAGTTTAAGAAATGCATTGAGTCATGTATTTTTGGATGAGTAAAGAATCAAGATAGTCTATGCAGTTTGTGGTATAGAATGACGGAAAAGCTCCTGCAGTAAAAATAGTATTTTTTTTAATAAAACTAAAAGCTGTATCCTTATATGCAGATGGCTTTAACTCTCATTTCTCAACTCTGGCGCACTTATCTTAGTGATGTAGTTAGAAATTATTTTGTCTGGTACATCTTGAACAAACTCCTGTAAGAATAATTCCTTTTGACCTAATTCAAGGACTCGTGACTAGAAGAAAGTGTATGAGGCACTGTTTTGAAGTAACTTAATTTTCTTTTTCTTGGTATGCTGCTTTTGACACAGAGGAACAGAATACGTGACAAAGCCAAAAAATTGATCCACAATATATGAGAAGTGAACTCCCATTTTCCTTATTGCCCTGTTAAGTTAGGGTGAATTGCAGTCTTGGTCCCTGTCATATTTCTTACTTGGATGCTATCCCCAGCATGTGTTGGTGCACTCCTGGCTAGCCACTTCTTTATCCCAGTGTCCTTAGCATGTCTTCTAACTGTGTGCAAATTGTGCTCAGCTTACCTTTCTGCTAGAAACAGAAATTAAGTCATTGGCTGGGCATGGAGTTTTGAGTATGGTAGGTGAACACTTTCTGTGTGGAAGTAGCAGACTTGTGAAAGGACACCAAATGTCATTTGCATCTCCAGCAGTTTGGATTAGGATACAGAAATAGGATCTGTCTTGTGTCTGTACCTGGTAAGTAAAAGTGTTCTAGGTCATGCAATAAAAACTGTGTTTATGTGCATATGAGGAACTTGCCCATAGATGTTACCAAGTAAACATCAAGATCTGTTCCAGTTCCAAGATTGATTGTTTGTGAGACCAACATAGTGAACATACTGGATTTTTTTTGTTGTTGTTGTTTTAACTAGATAGCTGAAAAATATTGATTTGTGAAAAGTGGGAGTTCCTCTTACAAGCTTGTCACTTCCAATAGTAGCCTTTTATGTGTGAGTGCAGCTGCTGCTGTAACAGTTTATAAAGCATCTTTGGTGTTGGGAAGTTCTGAGGTGATGAGGTTCAGAAAGAAAGCTACACCATCCCCCCTCAAAATAGTTGATGACTGCCATGAATTCTTGGCAGCACATCAGTAGCCCCTCTCTTAGCTCTGCCTTTCCCCCAGTGCAGGGTGAAAATGTTGATGTTTGCTTCTACCAACAAAAGGAGAAGAAATAAATGGAAAAATGAGGCTGATTTGAAAGTTCAAGATGGACTTACTTAATCTCCAGAAGAAACAACTCTTCAAAGTTCTAGTTGAATAGAAACTACCTTAAAATACCATATAAATCACTCTTTCACCCCACTCCTTGCATATTGAAATGGTTAGTTATTCCCAGAGATTCCAGGTTATGAAGACAGCAGTTATCCTGCAACCCTAAGAAGGTTTATTTTCTCGGGTTTTGTATCGGTGTAGAGTGATTAGAATATCACTAGGGAGTATTATTAACAGTTTTCCTTTTAACTTGTCAGAGTTTGATAATTGAACTGAAAGGCTGATTAACAGATATCAGCATCACATAAAATCATAACTATTCAATAAATATGTTAATTTATCTCCTTTTCTATTTCTGCCACTGCTATTTTAGGTTTCTAAAATATTACATGTTCATAACTTTTTCCATAAGCTGCTCAAAACCTGGCAGTGAAAATCCATTTTTATTATTTATTCTTTCAGGGCTACTGACAGACAAATGTTAAATTCTTCTGGTCCTGTAGAGCAGAAAAAATATTTGTGCTCAACTGAGAAGGAAGGAGAACTAATTGATCACAGAGTGCTAAAGCAAAAGTGAGTAGTTTATAATGCATTTACTAAATTATTGTTACCTTTTGAAACCCACATAAACACTTCTTTTTGCTTTAAGACTAAAGACACACTTCATGAAAAATGATCCCAACTATTGGAGGACAGGTTCAGGTATATCCAGGTATATTTAGAAAACAGCAGAAGCAGGAATTTATTAGGATCTTACTGAATGAAATAGTCTAATGGTGTTTTTTCTGCCCCTCGTCCTCAGCCCTTGCTCACTGTCTCGTATGTTATCTCATGCAAAGGGCAAGATACAGGTTTGTCTTTGTCTAGTTTTTAAAAAGCCTTTTTTACAGATGTGTTTTCAACAGCAATCTGGTAAATTAATCACTACAGAGTGGAATGTCGTTATAAAAAAAATCATGTTTGAGGCATCTTAAATGTAGCACTCTGGAAGGTAGGCATAGCAGTTGCATTTGTGTGCTCATTTTCCTTGGGTATCAAAATGAGGCTCCCTAAAAACTGGAAGTGAGATGAGCTGTTGGGGGGGCTTTATTTCCCTTTTTTTTTATCTACACACGCTTTTCCCCTTTGAGATGGGCAGTTAGTTAGTATGGGAAGAGCCCTGTTCCTCTTTCAAGGCAGTTGTTTTCTTGTTTGTGAAGCTTTTATCTCCGTTTGTTCCCACCTGCTAAAATTTCTACCCTTGCTATCATTCTCCTCCTAGATGTGACTGATGTCTTCAGTATTCTGAGATAAGGGGAGATCTTCCTGCAAAAATGTCTATTTTTATCACTTAAAAAAAGTAACAAGGAGTTAGGGATAAGGCTGTCTGGGAACAAAGCAGAGAGCTTAGTGAATCATAGTTAATGCTTTTAAAATAAAATCCTGCTATGAGCTTCAAAAGAACAAAACAAAAACCTCAAAACCCAAAGATCCTGTCAGCATTGTTATAAAAGAAGCAAGCCCAAATTGCTTAAACCCTTGGAATAAACCTTTAATATGATCTTGTAATGATGGATTTTAGCCTGTGCTTCTAAAGGATACTTATTTTTAATTAATGATGAGTAATTGGCCTTGTGCAGTATAAAGAGTTTTAAATGGGTTGTATGAATCAGTGAAACCCAGAATAGACTGGCTTTAGGAAATGTTCGCAGCAAGTGTTGTCAGTACGGAACTTTCAAAGGCCTATAATGGCCTCTTAAGGGAAAGGGACTGCAGAAGAGCAGTGACAATTCCCCTTGGGGTAGAGAAGCAGAAGAGGAGGAAAGCTTGCTGCTGTAAATGAAGTGCCCCTTCTCAGTGAAGTAGTAGGTGCCCTGAAAGTCAGTGGAGCTGTGATGATCTGTAGTCTTGGAGACCTGAGCAAATTTTATGAGGGCTTCTCTTTAAAGGTCAGATGAGAAGCTGGCAAATGTCTTTCTCAG